TCCCCCTGAAGATTTGTTATACTGCCTAGCTAGTACAACAACACATGTACCATTTTAATGTTTACGAATGATCTCTTGTTTTTCCTCTATGGTCATTCTTAAATGTGATTTCTTGCCTTGAACCTTACCACTGACTTTCTTGGGACACATGGCAAGATATATAACTTTTATGCTCAAATAGCCAAAAATACGAAAAAAACCAGCGTTGAATGTAATGAAACGCCATTTTCTGGGTGAGACCCGGAGGCTCCCCGGAGCTTTACCGGCTGATATGCTAATGTCAGACTTTGGCATCAGTCATGTGTATGGAGTTCTAGGGCCTACCGGGGACCACGAGCCAGAACCTGGCCCCCTCAGAGAGGCAAGGGGAGCAATGGCCTATAGAAACCCCCGTGTGGTTGGAAGCATTCTATGTCTGCCATCGACCGGGTCAAGCATCCAGAAAGGTAAGCATTCCAAAACAAACCCCTATTCTGGTGAAAATTGCTACCTAAGCCGAACTAGTGAATAGAACTCTTCAACAGAAAACACGGAAACTAGTATGACGTCATACGTCACCGCGCCGCTGTCTGCGCAGCTCCCCCCTCCCCGGGAGGGGGAAGGGGGAGCCCCAGACCTCCCACGCCGGCTATCCACCCATCAGTTCTGAGGCTGGATGTCAAAACACGCGAAAAACGCCGACCGGAGGGAGGGAGGGTTGCCGGGGAGCCTCCGGGTCTCACCCAGAAAATGGCGTTTCATTACATTCAACGCTGGTTTTCTGGGGGGAGCCCCGTCGGCTCCCCGGAGCTAACTACCCACAGAGGAAGGTCAAAGGGACAAAACCGGGAGGCGGACACCACGCACCCCCCAAGGAGGCGAGACAACCGGCAGCAAACGCCAACCCAAGGCGCCACAGCCCCGAAAATCCCGGGAACAACACGAGAACCACGAGCAGCAAGGCCCCTGCACGAACACCAAAAATCCATGCCCGAAAGACTGCAAGGCCACGTCGCCCAGACGGCAGCGAGAGCAGCGAAGCCACGAACGCCACAGGCATGAGGGAAGAACACAGGCAGCTTAGCCGCAAGAACACGGCTGACCACCCGGGACACCATCACCCGCGAACCGGGAAGAACAGAACCGGATCAACGCAAAACGCGCTCCGGACCCAAACGCCGTGGCACGCAAACAACAGCAGAGGGCCGCCACTGAACACAAAAACGACACACCCCCGGCCCGACCAACAAAGCACCAACAAACCCTGGACCCCTCCAGAATGCAGCAGCCCCACCCCGCGCCAGAAAAGATGGAGACTGCTGCCATCAAACAACCAAAACGCTAAAACCGAAGGAGCAAGAAAACACAGCGAACCGACCCCCAGAGGCAAAGGCCCAAAGGAAAGAGCCGACGAAAAAACACACCGGAACCGAAGGGGCACTACCAACCGAGGAGAAGACAGAGCACGCTGACCAGAGACCAGGATGGTGCAAGCGGCGCACGAACAGGCCGGAGGTGAAATGACGCACAAGACAGCTGACTAACGGTGCAGAAGCAACACCAAGACCGAAAGCAAGCTGAAGCGGCTCCGCCTGCGCCGCACGAAAAGAGGCGACAGTATGTGGCAAGACGACGGCCCCCAACCCCCACTAGAAAACCAAGCCGAGAGTAAACCAAGCCAACAAGAAGGACCCACCGAAGAAGGGACAGGAAAAGGAAGGACCGCCAAAATACCCCATACTGCCGCCAAGAAAGCACGCAGGTGGGACACCTACCACGAAGCCACCCGACCACCAACCGGAGGCGAGACCACGAGGCAGAACATAAGCAGCCCCGACAAGGCCCCCCAGAGCCCAGGAAAAAGGCGGAGCCGCGAGAAGATCTCGGGTGCGACCACCGAAACCCAGGCGGCACAAGGAGATGGAACGTCTGCCGAACAGAAAAACTCCGAAGCATGCAAGCCCGCCAGGAGTTCAGAAACGACGGGTCCGACGCGAGACATCGCAAGAACCCCCCCAAAAAAAATAAAACAACAACAACCGGCAGGGCAAGCTAGGAAAACCAAAGAAGGCGGAAGGGTCGCCGCCAGAACAGGACCCGAACCAAGGGGCACGAACAACTGCAACAGACCGAGACAAAGAAGCACATCACAGGACACAGGCTGACCAACGCCTAAGAACACACGCAGAACATTCCTGCTGCAGAAGAGGCAGGAAGAAAGAGCAGAAGCACAAAAAAAAAAAAAAAAAAAAAAAAAAAAAAAAAACAGGAGAACAACCAGGGGTGGACAATCAGGCAGGGACAAAAACCCCACGCAATCCCCAGGCACAAAACGGCAGCAAAGCGCCACTCCACAACCGGACACAGGAACAAGGACACGCCACCGTGAAACACGGTACCAATGCTCACGTGCAGCAGCAGCAGCAACAGGCACCACTGCAACATGCAACATGTAAATGGCAACTCCCCTCTGCAAAGGCAGAGAACGGAGCAGGCAGACCCCAGACAGGGCCAACGGAGACACGACAAAACCCTGCAGGCCCAGAAACCTGCACCAGGCGACCGACGGCGGAGAAACCCCGCTCGATACCTGCTGGATGAGGTACTGGGAGCTCTTTTACACCTCAAGCCCGGCCCAAGGTCAGGCCAGACCGGCCAGAGGATGGCCCACCAGGCAGCTGCTAGGAGCAGTCCACCGGCCCACATACCCCCACAACCAGGACGGGCCGGAACTGCCATACGAAAACAGGCCAGTGCGCCCCGGAAGTCCACGGACGAACCAGCAAGAAGGCTTATGCTCGCAAGTAGGTCGTGTAACAAGCACAGACCACTGATGGTAATACAGTGTTCCCCAAAAGTGCCAATAGCACCACTGCACTCCACTGGTACTATCCCGCAAGTTCTACCAGATAGGCGGGACCCAAGAGCCAGAGCTCAAATCCTGCAAGCACAGCCAGGAGCCTCACCAGGCGAGTACAGAACCAACCCTACAACCCCCACACCTCACAACATTAAAAAAGGAGGGTCCCCTGAACGACTCCAGCATGGGTTGGACATGCACATGAGGGGGACAGGAAGGGGTGATAAAGGGACAGTCACTGGTGTGCGAACGGTCTCAGTCGTACAAAATTATACCTAAATAAAGACAGGTATATGAACACCGCCGCATCCAGCGCCCGGCCAAAAGACGCCAGACCGCAGAAACTCACCTGGCGAATGGTGGCTCGAACTTGACACGACTCAACCGTGCCCAGAAGAACTTGGGAGCACCGCCAGGTGAAGACGCCAGAGCCGGACCCGCAGGAGAACAGGGAGAGGCGAAGGAGGCGGTCCACACCCATGACACAGAAAACCGCGGTGTCCTCCCCACAACTGGGAACCAGGACACCCCTGGCGCAAAGGGGCACATACCGCAGCCAGGGAGAAGAACGAGAGGCGAAGCACTGTAGCAAAAAAGGGCGCAAAACCCCAGCACTGAACCATCGCCCAGACCAAAACAAACTCCACGGCGCATGCGCAGAACACGCTGGCCGAACCGCACACAAAGAGCGGCCGAAAACCAAGCGGTAAACGGCCAAGCAGGGGCAGGACCCAAGGAACTTGTGGAAGGTGGCCCCAAGCCCCAAGGGCAGTACTTACAGGGCACCTAGGGAAGGGAACCCTAGGCGCATGCAGCCCGAGTACTGAAGAATCACACCCGGCTCACGCACCACCTAGAAAACAGACACCACACTCTAGGTACAGTGCTGAAACAACCACTGGAGCCGGAGCACATAACCATTGCCTATAGCATCAGCCGAAGAACTGATGGGTGGATAGCCGGCGTGGGAGGTCTGGGGCTCCCCCTTCCCCCTCCCGGGGAGGGGGGAGCTGCGCAGACAGCGGCGCGGTGACGTATGACGTCATACTAGTTTCCGTGTTTTCTGTTGAAGAGTTCTATTCACTAGTTCGGCTTAGGTAGCAATTTTCACCAGAATAGGGGTTTGTTTTGGAATGCTTACCTTTCTGGATGCTTGACCCGGTCGATGGCAGACATAGAATGCTTCCAACCACACGGGGGTTTCTATAGGCCATTGCTCCCCTTGCCTCTCTGAGGGGGCCAGGTTCTGGCTCGTGGTCCCCGGTAGGCCCTAGAACTCCATACACATGACTGATGCCAAAGTCTGACATTAGCATATCAGCCGGTAAAGCTCCGGGGAGCCGACGGGGCTCCCCCCAGAAAAAACAAAAAAATGTAAATCCTTGAAGAATTCAGGCGGGATAGTCACTGGGCGTGAGGCACTGATAAACTGAGGCACGATCGCCGTGCCACCAAGCGCTAGGTCGGCCATACGCGTATCAACAAACTCGTATCCCGAGGTAAAGTTCGTAACCCGATTCAAATTTTATGAACAAATCGGGCTCGTAACCCGAAAAGTTCAGAAACGGGCATTCGTAAACCGAGGTACCACTGTATATGATACGTGATAACACCAGATAATATTGTTGTGCAGACAAGTTCCATTCCTTGTTTTATAATTAGCTTGAATGGATGGTGGCAGCAACCGTCTATCCTTCTACTATTCTAGCACTCTTACTTTCTACAATTCTACTTTTCTTTATTTCATTTTCTCCCTCACATTCTAAACTATCCCTTTCTCCTGACCACTCTTCCTCACACCTCCCTTTCACCTCTCTACCTCCCTCACCCTATGCATCTCGCCATTTCTTTTTTCTTCCTTCAATTGCCGATACGTTACAATTTAACCAAGCATCAATACTTATTCAGAAAATATAAGCATGCCATTTTCTGCTCATAAAAATGTATACCTGTATTTTACTTTTCATGCTACACATTCCTTATTAATCAAATTCTTCATGGAATGCATCCTATATTTTCCAGGAGATCTATAAAATACTAAGAAGTTGGCTTAAACACAGGGTACAGCCCTACAAAAAACTGCATTTTCAGAAAAAGCCATTGCTTTACAACAGAACAATTCAACAATGTCTACACCATTAAAAGACATTCCTGTGCTTACCTTGATATTACCACGGGCATCAAAACCATCAAGCTGGTTAATAAGCTCCAACATTGTTCTCTGTACTTCATTATCACCTCCAGCACCATCGTCAAATCGAGCACCTCCAATGGCATCAATTTCATCAAAGAATATTAGACAAGCTTTCTTGGTGCGAGCCATCTCAAAGAGTTCACGCACCATGCGTGCTCCCTGCAAGAAGGAAATGGCAGAAATTTAAAGTAAACTTTATACTGAATGCTCACTACCAAGGATCAACTACCCTGAGTCTGTAGCTTTACCTAAAAATGGTATACAATACTTTAAAATTACATATGCAACTGGCATATATGGTAGGTGACATGACAATCACATCTGTAACTCTATCTTGCTTGGACATTAACTATCTTGCTTGGCCTGTAACTATCTTGCTTGGACATGTTCGTATTCAATATTAAAAACAAAAAAATGTGGAACATGGAGAATTACAAACACCTGCTTACCTCTCCCACATACTTCTGAACCAACTCTGATCCAATAACACGAATGAAGCAGGCATCTGTACGGTTGGCAACTGCACGGGCACATAGTGTCTTCCCTGTTCCAGGAGGCCCAAATAGGAGAACACCTTTGGGTGGTTCAATCCCAAGGTTAACAAATCTTTCAGGCTGAAACAAAATATTTACAATATATTGAAACATACTACAGTGGTACCTCTGTTTTCTATTTCAATCCGTTCGCAGAGACGGTTCGAAAACAGAAAATTAAAAAAACTAATTTTCCCATAAATAATGTAAATTTAATTAATCCATTCCACACACAAAAATATTAACTTAAAAATACATTTTATACAGAATACTACTAATTTTTCATACACAAAACAATCAGGTATACAAGTAAATATAAACAATTAATAAAATAAGTGAACATTTAACTGCACTTTAAATCTACTGAAGACTCTTGTTGGCGTACTGGAGACAGAGAGGTAGGAAGGAGCAGTGTTGGTGTATGGGGAAAATGAGGAGTGGGGGGGGGGGGATGATACCATCTCCTGCTCGCCTTAAACGCATTCATATCTGCATCACTGGTTCCAGACTTTCCTTTCACACAGTTCACTGCCTATGTGGCAGCCAGTCAGAACCAGTCAGTCAAGCATTCACAGTCAAGACCAGTCACACAGGCAGTCATAACCAAAGGCAGTCAAGCACTCACAGTTGTAGTTGCAACCAGTTAGGCATTTATGGTCAGTCATGCATTCAGTCACGCATTCACAGTCAGTCACGAACTCACAGTCAGTCAGGCTTTCACAGTTGCAACCAGTTAACCAATATGAGTTTAATGTCAGGCAAGCAACCAATATGAGTTTAATGTCAGGCACTCAGTGAGTCTGTCTCCCGATCCAACAGCTGGTAACATGGAAGCCCATCGTATTAATACCATCCATATGGCTGGGAGGGGTACAGCTGGGGGGGGGGAGGATGAGGGAAGGGTGAAGAATGGAGGTAGTGTAGTGGAACATGGGGGGGGGGGGGTTGGGGAGGGACCAGGGTGCCCAGCTCCTGTGTTAGTCCTAGTCTGAAGCTTGCCCACTGCTACACACCCACCCACTCTGCCAACCATCCTGCTATTCATCTGCACACCCACTGTCTTCTGACCTGCCCTGTCACACACGAGGTTTTTTGGAAACGGGAACATGCTGGAGGGGTGACAGGGAGACTGCTGACATAGATGAAAAAATTCTGATAGAAAGCCAAAAACAGTAATCAGTGGCAATATATGACTGGAGGAGTGTTACTAGCAGAGTACCATAGGGTTCAATTCTTGCACTGGCAATGTTCATTGTCTACATAAATGATCTACCAGAAGAAAAACAGAATTATATGAGCATGTTTGCTGATCATACTAAGGTACTAGGGAAAGATACAAGTAGATGATTATCAGGCCCTTCAACTTGACCCCTAGATAAAATAAGTGCTTGGAGCACCATGTGGCAAATGGAATTCAATGTAAAAAATGCCATGTTATGGAATGTAGAGTAAGAGAAAATAGACTACACACACACTATGAATTATGTGGAAAGGAATTATTGAACTAACAAAGAAAGAGATCTAATGGTGGTTTTGGATATTAAACTGTCACCAGAGGAACACAAAGAACATTGCAAGAGGAGTGTATGTGTCGCTTTCCAACTTCATACTTGCTTTTAATTACATAGATATAAAAATACTAAAGAAACTGTTCATGACTATTTTGAGACCAAAATTGGAATATGCAGCAGTTGTATGGTGCTCATATCTCAAGAAACACATCAATAAACTGGAAAAGGTGCAAAGGCATGCTACAAAACGGCATCAAGACCTGAAAAACAAGAATTATGAAGAGGCTAGAAACATTAAATATGCAAAAGCAGGAAGATAGAAGAAAAAGAGACGATTTAATCACCACTTACAAAATAATAACAAGAATCGACCAAATTGACATAGAAATTCCTGAAACCAGCAACTTCATGAACAAGAGGTAACAGATTCAAGCTAAGGAAACGAAGGGGGCTAAAAAATATAAAGTTTTCTCTTGCAAATAAAGTGGTGGACAGTTGGAACAAGTTAAGTGAGAAGGTGGTGGAGGCCAAAACCGTCAGTCGTTTAAAAGCGTTATATGACAGACTGCTGGGAAGATGGGACACGATGAGCATAGCTCTTATCCTATAACTACACTTTACCCAGGTGGCTCCCTGAAGTTATTTAACCGAGATGGCTCCCAACTACTTGATCACAACAGCCATGGAGTTCTGTTTAGCCTGCTGGGAACCAGAGCCAGAACCAGACCCCCCCCCTCAAAGGTGCAGGGAGTGGATGACACTTCACCCCCCCCCCCCCCCCCACCGGCAAAGTATCCGAAAAGTCGGAAAACTAATACAAACTACTGGTGGGTTTTAAAAAAAAAAAAAAAAGCTCCAAAAATGCCATATGAACTCCTGGATTGTACATGGATGGGGTTCTGGGAGTTGTTCTATTCCCCAAGCCCGGCCTGGAGCCAGGCTTGCCTTGTGAGTGCTTAGTCCAACAGGCTGTTGCTTGGAGTGGTCCGCAAGCCCCGATATCCACTACAGCCCGGCTGGTCTGGCACTTCTTACCGACAACTGTCCATTTTTTCTTAATTTTCCCTTTTGTTCCAGTAATATTTCTTATACTTGCAGAGACGACATTGAATAACCATGGACGTCTGATGTTCTCTGATTGTGCCTATGGCACCTCTACTTCTAAATGGTTCTATTCTGCATTTCCTTCTGTATCTTTTGCTCCAGTATGCTGTTATTCTGCTGTGCAAATTTGGGACCTTGCTTTCCAGTATCTTCAATGTACCAGTATAAATTATTTGATACCTTTCTCTTCTCCTTTCTAGAGTACATTTTGAGAGCATAATAATTTGTCCCAATAACTTAGATGTTTTATTGTTTCTATGCGTACCATATAGGTTCTCTGTATTTCCTCTAATTCAGAGATCTCTCCTGCTCTGAAAGGGAAAGTGAGTACTGAGCAATACTTCAGACAGAACAGCACCAGTGATATAAATAGTATTAGAATTGCTGTGGGATCTCTGGACTTAAACACTCACAATCCATCCTACCAGTTTCCTGGCCGCCACTATATTTGCTCGGTTATGTTCACTAAATGTTAGGTTATCAGACAATCATAATTTCCCAACTTTTTACCTGTTACTTTCCTTCTATAAATGTGTCCTGTACCCTGTATTTCGTTTAAGTTCCTCATTTGCACCATAAATAAGTACCTACCTGGAACTTATCCCCATTAAACATCATGTTACTTCCAGTTGTTTAACTGAAGACTTTATTTATATAAACTTGTAGTTTTTCTACAGTTTTTCTGTTTTCTACAGAGGAAATGTTCATGCTGATTTTTGTATCATCTGCAAAGGATGACACGAAGCTGTGACTAGTATTTTTGTCTATATCCAAGATGAAAACAAGAAATAGCAGTGGTGCAAAGACTGTGCCCTGTTTGATAGAAATACTGTGCATAATCTTACTGAAGCAAACATACGAGTCATAAATACGCGTACACTGCTTAAGTAAAACAGAAACAAGACATGAGTAATACTTAGTAGTCCTGCCAGAGGCTTACAGCCCATGCAGGAATATCCTTGCAAAAAAAAAAAAAAAAAAAAAAATTACCTACATACAGAAGCAATCATCTGTGTGTTGTAATGCCTAATTGTTCAACAAAATACAATTTGTTTTCAATAGGTAAAGCTGGTAATTATACACAATTCTTTCTCAATACACAGTATGATTTGACTTATTTCTCAATACGCAGTATGATTTGACTTATTTCTCAATACGCAGTAGGATTTGACTTATTTCTCAATACGCAGTATGATTTGACTTATTTCTCAATACGCAGTAGGATTTGACTTATTTCTCAATACGCAGTATGATTTGACTTATTTCTCAATACGCAGTAGGATTTGACTTATTTCTCAATACACAGTAGGATTTGACTTATTTCTCAATACACAGTAGGATTTGACTTATTTCTCAATACACAGTAGGATTTGACTTATTTCTCAATACACAGTAGGATTTGACTTATTTCTCAATACGCAGTAGGATTTGACTTATTTCTCAATACACAGTAGGATTTGACTTATTTCTCAATACACAGTATGATTTGACTTATTTCTCAATACGCAGTAGGATTTGACTTATTTCTTAATACACAGTAGGATTTGACTTATTTCTCAATACACAGTATGATTTGACTTATTTCTCAATACACAGTAGGATTTGACTTATTTCTCAATACACAGTATGATTTGACTTATTTCTCAATACGCAGTATGATTTGACTTATTTCTCAATACGCAGTATGATTTGACTTATTTCTCAATACACAGTAGGATTTGACTTATTTCTCAATACACAGTAGGATTTGACTTATTTCTCAATACACAGTAGGATTTGACTTATTTCTCAATACACAGTAGGATTTGACTTATTTCTCAATACACAGTAGGATTTGACTTACGTGCAAAAGAGGAGTCTCAACAACTTCGCGAAGCTTTTCAATCTGCTCTTTACAGCCTCCAACATCAGAGTATGTAACATCTGGTTTTTCTTCTACTTGCATCATCGTGACTGATGGATCAATTTTGGGTGGAAGAGGGATATGTATTTGGTACTTATTGCGATCCACACTGAAATAAACAATAATATAAAATTCCAAAGCAGCTGAAAGAAAGCAGCTTTTATTGCAGCTGCAACTGGTATTCAATCAAATATATGACAAGAAAATTCATACATTAAGTAAAAACAGATGTAAAGCAAGTCCTGTATTGCAGTTGTAAAACATTAAAGAAATGTAGAAGGCTTTATTCAAATTGTGTCAAAGAAGGGACTGGGCCACAGGGACATTGAGCCCTGAAATCATGGCAAGGTAAAGACGAGGACCACAAGGGAGAAAGCCCCCAGACGGGAGTGTTTCTCAAACGCCCCAGGGAAGAGAACCCTGACCTCACAAGGGTCACAGAAAAATTACCCTAATGATCCGAATTTCAAATGGGGCACCCTGCGGAATCCAGACTTTTTTCTGAAAATTTTTCACAATTTGGAGGGAAGGTCCATTGTCTAAATTTAATTCGTAGTTTTCAGGGATTCATTATAAGGACATCCAGATTATGGAGGTGCCACTGTAATGCTCAACTGATGAGAATGGTAAAGGATCTGGTCAGACTACAGAAATGGGCATAATTTATCTAATGGCATTTAATCCCTATAAATATAATGAGGCAGAAATTTATCTAATGGCATTTAATCCCTATAAATATAATGAGGTTTTACAGAGAGGGAGAGGAGACCAGTACAGTTCACACAAGCGGTAGCTACTGAAGGTAAAAAGAACCCCGGCCATGGATGTAACGCCAGCTTTACCACCAGAGCAACATAGTAACATAATAACGTCAGTAACATATGCAAGACAATCACACATAACGATGGTTTTTAAGAAAATGAACAAGGAATCCATCAAAATATTATACATGGTACACATTTGAACACTTCTAGACAATGCAACTCTGGCTTGGTACCCACTCCTGGCACAGCACAACATATACAAATATATAAGTTATTAGGATAGGTAAATAAACAAACTACATTTGAAGAGAAGGACAAGAGGCAATGTCATCACAACATACAAGATACTGTGGGGAATAGACAAAACAGAGGAGCCAAAGAAATATTCTTGCACAATGAGAGTGGCAAAAAAATAGTGGAGTGGGCTAGTCCAGGTAGTAGTGAAAGCAACAACTATTCATAGTTTCAAGAGCATATATGACACTATAGGAAAATTGGGAGGCATAAATATATAAAGTACACTAGGTATGGGATATTCAGTGATCTTCCCATGGAAGAATCAGTAAGAGCTCAGAAAAATACCATTAGTATACCAGAACAAACATGTCATCTTACCCAACTCGCATGCCTTCTTCAATATCAGTTGGTGCAACAGAATCGGCCAAATCCACAACAAATTTTGCAAACTGTTTGACATTTATGATATACTTTGGATCATCAGAATCAGCATTAATGATTTTAGTGCATCTTGCCACCTGAAAAATTAAAAAATAAATAATTGCAACATTCAGTAAATTGTACTGAACAGAAAATATTGTTTGAGTTAATTATAAATATATAAAATTTTATAGAAAAACTAAAAGGTTTTATACTCATTTTGAATAATTTTTTAAACATGAAAATTAAACATTTCCTCAAATATTGTCTTATAGGATGCTCCACTGAATAATGGTAAAGAATTGATTATTAGATATATACTGAATTAATTACCATAGGTAATGTTGATTAAATAGTGCAAAACCATTTAACAGAACATGATCCAATGGAATCAAATGGACAAGATGAATTCCATTATATTGCTTGATATGACAAGCAACATAGTGGAAGCAGGCGGAATGCACATCAACCTGTGGCCAGTACAGGTCAAACAAACAACACATGATAAAACATCCCTCATCTCGCAAGAAGTGAGGGTAGGATTGGAGGGGCACCCCAGCCCCCCCCTTAACCCACATGGAATTATCATTGCCTGAAGGAAACAATCTAAGCAGGACACCCAGTCACTGGGATGCAATGTCAGTATTCTTAAAAGTTCTATGTAAATTAACCCTGCCTGGCTAAGATGGCTGGGAAAACCTACCTCAGCACGCCGAAGTACAGCATGAATGCAACTAGTGCACCCCACCAGCCAAGGCGCTCCAACCAGGAAAAAAAATGAAGCTAAAAACCCCAAACTCATCTCAAGGCGAAAGCCATCCTAGGGCGAAAGCGAGATGGACCTCTAAATGAATGCCACCAAAACATTCCAGGGAAGACGATCCTGCGACACAAGGGAAGCATCAGGAAGCACCCAGGGAAGGTAACCCTGAACACATGCAGCTCCAAGTGCACTAAACTCATGACCCACATGCACCAAAATGCAAGGAAAAGCCCCAAAGGCAAAAAGAAAACCCAAGAAACACACTGGGGCCAGAGCGACAGTGGTAGACCAGACACCGGCTAAACATCAGAGAACTGACAACAGAGCAGCCTGTGAGTTGTGGCCCACCTCTCTCCTCCCTTCAAATGAGGAGAGGGGTTAGAGTGAATGAGCAGGCACTGGGTTATAATTTTTAGGTCAATGATGAGTCACAATAACATGGATGAAGATACGTCTTAACCACACATCAGAAGATAAGAGAAACGACTTTTCAGTCCGTCCTAGACCATTATCAAGTCGCATGTAGACAACCCATACACGACTTGATAATTAGTGGGATTTGTCTGGGCTCCTCCTAGAAGGTCCAAATAATTAAAGTGCAAGTGAAAAACACACACCTCACGATCAGGAAAGTAGTAACAGAGGTAACCAATTGTTTCATGTCGAGCAAAGCAATCTACGCATACAGGAGAGGCAGTCTGCAAGAATATTGGGCACCCCTTGAATGAGGGCCACATCGAGGCCTAAACCCAAGAAGCTAAAGTGAGGCTTTCCCGAGTCCACCTCCACAGAAAATTAAAATGATCAGAGCCCACTCTGTTGAAGCAGTCCACTACCAACAGCCAAAACAAGTGAAGCCAAATCGTGGAGCGCAACAGAAGAGGGATGCACAAGAAGAAGAGGTGCCATCCAAACTGTTACACTCCCTCACCTTCATGTGCACCAACCATGGGTGAGGGAACCAAAACATTTAGTACCAAAAATATTTGGTCATTTATTGTTAATGACTTTCACTAAAGAAAAATATTTTAAAATCAAATTACATACTTGAGGCACGAAACAAAAATTATAATATGGGTAATCAAGGGGAGAAAAGTAATAATTTAACCAAATATGTCTAAGAATATTAAATACACTGTAATTCATTTCTAATGTTCTAACCGCATAATACACAAATGTGCAATACTTTAAATTTATATAAATTGTCAAATGTTGTCAACATCAAAAATAAATTATCTGACGACAATTCTGTTCATGTATTAAATCTTTGGCAATTAGGGATAATATAGATACTCAGTATCGAGATGTAAGTGAGGTTGAAGGCATTACCTGAAGTGGCTGTTCATTTTGCAGAGTTTGCTTATCAGCTGCTAAGTCCCACAGAGCTGGCACTGCTAAGCCAGTGTCGGATTCCTTAATGCCTGTTAAATCATTCACCTTTTTAACAGTTTTCTGGATATCATCTTCAACATTCTTGATCACTTTAGTGTACGGTCCTTGACCCTGCAATTAAACAGCAACTTAGTATTTCTTGGTGCATACATTTAACAAATCAGGATAAACAATTTATAGTACCTCAATTATAGAACCTCAATTTGGCAAGTCTCCAGTTGGAACGCACACTTTATAGGCCGGATTTACTCACCTAATTCAACCAACAAGAGTTCCCTCAAGCTGGGGATGTGCAGATTTGCTTAAGATATTTGGATTGAATTCATAGACTAGTGGAAAAGTTGCCCATCATATCATAGGTTAAAGTTAAAGATTTCCTTAGTGAAATCAGCCCATAGAGCATGGGAAATATGAAGGTATGAATGATAACTCATAATAAGGCACCCCTTGAATGAGGGGTGCCTTACCTTCTTAATGATTTATAGATGGACACAAGAATGTAAGAAATGACCTTGAGAATACTATTGAACATATTTAAAACAAAATTCTATGGTTCTTGATTATTTTAAGTGACAGGTGTTAAATAAATAGGACCCCCTTTTCCTTTTAAAATGAGGTTTCAAGATGATTGTGTGGGAAATATGCAAGATGTGGTTAAATCTCTTTACAGACAGGTTCTTTTGGAAGTTGTCTTTCATATGATTAAGTTTAAATTAAAATTTCCCTCCATAAAATCTGAAAGAGTGGGAAAGAAACAGTGTGGGAAATAATGGGTATGAATGGTAACCGTCTCAATATGGCACAACCACATTTTTAATGATTCTCGTAAATGACTGCAACATTCATTAAAAGAAACAGATGGGGCCTTTGGAAAGTGAATGAGCATAGTTGAAACCAAATTCTATGGATCGTTTTCATTTTGAGATTCCCAGGTTTTTGTTCACAATATCTCTTTCCTTTGAAAATGAGGTTTAGAGACTAGGGCATGGGGAAATATGCTAGATATAGTTGAATATCTTTACAGACAGGTTTTCTTGGGAGTTGTCCTTCAAATGACAGGTTTAAATTAAAATTTCACTCTGTGAAAACAGCACCAAGCGTGGGAAATATCAGAGAACAAATATCTTTCTGGGTGTCTTCCCTGGTCGATGACAAGATGACAAATTTAAATGTAAAGTGTTCATGGGCCATTGCTCCCTGTGCCTCTCTGATGGCCAGGTTCTGGCTCTGGTTCCTGTAAGGCATACAAAGAACTCTGAGACTGATGATACTCAAGTAGTATGGTACTGATTAGTAACAAGGAAGGATTTGCAGACTGGAATGAGAATGACATTCCCTCTATTGACAGAAAAATTGCAGAACAACTTCAATGTCCCACACTATCTCAAAAACGATAAAGAAGGCTATGTGGAAATATAGAAATGATTGAACTAAAGCTACAAGAATCATAAAATCCAGGAAAGGCAGAGAAAAATAGAGCAAAAGACCATCAGCAAAATAGAAAGAAATCAGAAATACTTTTTCTCCTATGCAAAATCTAGAGCAAAAATTACATCCAGTACTGGGCCCCTGTGAAAAGGAGATGGAGAATTTTCGCAGATGACAAAGAAATGAGCAAAATACTGAGGCAACAGTACGATTCCGCTTTCAATGAGCCCTTAACCACCGTGCAGCGCTGGCTTAAAATATGACAAACACATAGTGTGCTGAAAATAAATTCTTTGCAAAAAAATTATTTGTCCTTCCAAAAGTGTTAAATGGCTTCCTCTGATCACATATGTTGAAAATATTGCACAAATGTACTTACTTTGGCTGCAGTCCAAAGTATTTTGTCCACAAAATGGCATGTAATGTCATGGCTCGGAGGTCGCCCGTGCGTGCCATAGATTCCCGAAGCCAGTCACATGCCAGACTCAACAAACGTAAGTTGCCACAAATATTTTTGTTAATTTTTTCTGCACAATTACAAATGTATTTCTTTTGTTTTTTTCTGGTTAATCCTTTGTATGTTGAACAGGTTTACAATATTCAGGCAGTATAACATCCGTACTGTTCAAAGACACTTGTGTTACATGTATCACAAATGTGTCCACAAACATTGTTCATATTTTCTATATTACATGTACAATTCTATACATTTACAACTTATTTACACACTGTACACTATCAGACTATATACAACACTATCATCATACTGCACGAGTGTGTGATAATCACTGAAGTAGTCAACAAGGCATAAGGGAACTTTGCACTCAATGCACCAAGTGCAGATGGATCTTTGCTTCCGTTCCCTACGTTATGTTCTTTCAAACACAGGAATGTTTACCCCTTTTCACATGTGCCTGTGCCTTTAAAGAACACAATAAAGTACCCATCACAACTGCAAGAAAAAAGGATAGGTTGGATAACAAGAACCTTGCAAACAAGAGATGCTGTACCAATGATGATACTTTTAAAAGACACAGGTGCTCTCTAGAGTAGAATACTGTTGCACAATAACAGCCCCCCCTGGCAAAATCTTACTGAAGCGACCATACGAGTCATAAATACTCATACTCCGACCAAGTAAAACAGAAACAAGCAACACTTAGTGGGCCAGCCAGGGAAAAACTTCAAAGCTGGAGAAATTGTTGACCTAGAACGTGTGCAGAGATCCTTTACAACTAGAATCCACTCAATATACCATCTAAATTACTGGGACCAACTAAAATGCCTAAATCTGTAGAGCACAGGCGGGAGAGAGAGACTAATTTAATCATGGAAAATATTAGAGGGGCTGGTCCCAAATCTGCACATATAACATCACATGGGACCAGGATAGACCAGTTGCACTAACATCGCACATCATAAAAGTATTTGAGAGAGTGATTAGGAGTCAGGTCACCAATTTCATGGAGACCAATGACCTTCACAACCCAGGCCAACATGGATTTCGAGCGGGAAGATCGTGCCTCTCACAGCTACTTGAGCACTACGACAAAGTCACCGAGGCATTAGAAGAGAAACAGAATGCTGATGTGATATACACGGACTTCGCAAAGGCTTTCGATAAATGTGACCATGGCGTGATAGCACACAAAATGAAGTCAATGGGGATAACCGGTAAAGTAGGACGCTGGATACTCAGTTTTCTGTCAAACAGGACTCAGCGAGTAACTGTCAACCATATAAAATCTAGTCCAAGTGCAGTGAAAAGCTCTGTACCTCAGGGTACAGTCCTTGCACCGCTGCTTTTCCTTATTCTCATATCAGATATAGACAAAAATACAAGTCACAGCTTCGTATCATCTTTTGCAGATGACACAAAAATCAGTATGAAAATTACCTCGGCTGAGGACATTGAAAAACTTCAAGCTGATATTAATAAAGTTTTCGACTGGGCATCAGAAAATAACATGATGTTTAACAGTGATAAATTCCAGGTACTCAGGTACGGTAAAAATGAGGACCTTAAACATAATACAGAGTACAAAACACAATCAAATGTACCCATAGTAGGAAAACAGCATGTAAAGGATTTGGGAATAATAATGTCTGACGACCTAACGTTTAAGGAGCACAACCAAGCAAATATTGCGACAGCCAGAAAAATGATAGGATGGATTACGAGAACTTTCAAATCCAGGGATCCCATCACAATGGTTGTACTCTTCAAGTCACTTGTGTTGTCCCGTCTTGAGTACTGCTCAGTACTCACTTCCCCCTTCAGAGCAGGAGAGATTGCTGAAATAGAGGGAATACAGAGAACATATACGGCACGCATAGACGCAATAAAGCACCTAAATTATTGGGATCGTCTCAAAGCCCTCCAAATGTACTCACTAGAAAGAAGACGAGAGATATCAAATCATATACACCTGGAAGATACTGGAGGGCCAAGTACCAAATCTACACAGTAAAATAACAACGTACTGGAGTAAACGATATGGAAGAAAATGTAGAATAGAACCAGTGAAGAGCAGAGGTGCCATAGGCACAATCAGAGAAGCTACCTACCTTGAGGTGCTTCCGGGGCTTAGTGTCCCCGCGGCCCGGTCGTCGACCAGGCCTCCTCTGATGTTTATACAGAACACTGTATAAACATCAGAGGTCCGCGGTTGTTCAACGTCCTCCCAGCAAGCATAAGAAATATTGCCGGAACAACCGTGGACATTTTCAAGAGGAAACTAGATTTATTCCTCCAAGGAGTGCCGGATCAACCGGGCTGTGGTGGGTATGTGGGCCTGCGGGCCGCTCCAAGCAACAGCCTGGTGGACCAAACTCTCACAAGTCAAGCCTGGCCTCGGGCCGGGCTTGGGGAGTAGAAGAACTCCCAGAACCCCATCAACCAGGTATCAACCAGAAGGCATTTCAGGATGTGCAGAATACCCCTGTTGAAAAGCAGAGATGCAATATATACTCAGAGAGGCTTACAATCAACATCAGAGGACTGAGATTGTTCAACACGATTCCACTAAACACAAGGGGCACAACTGGCCGACCCCTCACAGTGCTCAAGGGAGGACTCGATAAACAACTCCAAAGGATACCTTATCAACCAGGCTGTGATTTACACATCAGATTGCAAGCAGATTGCAGCTGTGACCCGGAGGCCTGGTCAGAGACCGGGCCTGTCGACCCGGAGGCCTGGTCAGAGACCGGGCTGTGGAGACCTTAGCCCTCCCCCCCGGATTTAATGCACGGTAACTACAAGGTAAGGTACATGCAAAATCTTGAGAACAGATAAACTGGATAAAGGAAGCATATTTAGATTTAAAAGAGGTAGGACTAGGGGACATTGGTGAAAGCTGCGTGCATTGCAGCTTGCAATTGAGTCAAAGAAATATAAGAAAGTTCTCATTCCCTGTAAGAGTGGTAAGCAAGTGGAATGTATTGAAAGAAGAGGTTGAAGCTTTTACCATCCACAACTTTAAAATATGAACAATTATGAAAATGGTAATGTTGAGAGGAGTAATTAGCACCCCAGGTATGAACAGCTAAGAGGCAGGGCATAAAGAACTGGCTCTCGCTTCCCCCATAGTCAATGATAGGAAGGGAACCACTGGGGTCCCCCAGAAAAATTACTGTACAGTACTTAAAAATAAGGAAGCCTTCTGACCCTTTATGAACATGCAAAGGCACTATATTGTTTATTCTAAAATAATATCTATACAATATTTTAAAAAGTACATTACAGTATAGTGATACAGTAGTTTAAATGTATGTTGTGAATGTTGATAAACTACTGCTCTATAAATGTTTGCTGCTTTGTATACTGTAGTGATGTGTTAAATTTGTTCTGTCTTGTATGCTAATTAAAAGTTTGCTTGCTGTGTTGCATACTTACATACGACTTCAGCAAGGTAATATCTGCTTCATCAAGAACTGAAATAAGAAATGTACAATTTTAATTTCTATTCAAAAGCAAATAATTTATATTAAATATATATTACACATGCTAGAGCTGTACAAACAATACTACTTCATCAATGACTGGAGCACATCCATAGTATACCACTACTGCTTACTTCCTAGTTATCTTTCTATACTAGAGATGTTCTTAGAATATGCAGAGGAACTCGGGGAACAGAGACCCAAGGAAACTGGAACAACTCACAAGATGCTCACCGAAGCAGAACTGGCGGCACCAAGGTAGCTTAAAAAAAAAACGCCACCAGACAAAATGCGCCAGACAAACATAAGAACATAAGAACATAAGAAGAAAGGTAACTGCAGAAGGCCTATTGGCCCATACGAGGCAGCTCCTATTCTATAACCACCCAATCCCACTCATATACTTGTCCAACCCGTGCTTGAAACAATCGAGGGACCCCACCTCCACAATGTTACGCGGCAATTGGTTCCACAAATCAACAACCCTGTTACTGAACCAGTATTTACCCAAGTCTTTCCTAAATCTAAACTTATCCAATTTATATCCATTGTTTCGTGTTCTGTCCTGTGTTGATACTTTTAATACCCTATTAATATCCCCCCGGTTATGTCCATTCATCCACTTGTAAACCTCTATCATGTCACCCCTAACTCTTCGCCTTTCCAGTGAATGCAACTTAAGCTTTGTTAATCTTTCTTCATATGAAAGATTTCTAATTTGGGGAATTAACTTAGTCATCCTACGCTGGACACGTTCAAGTGAATTTATATCCATTCTATAATATGGCGACCAAAACTGAACTGCATAATCTAAATGGGGCCTAATTAGAGCAAGATATAGCTTGAGAACCACACCAGGTGTCTTGTTACTAACGCTGCGATTAATAAATCCAAGTGTCCGATTTGCCTTATTACGAACATTTATGCATTGATCCTTTTGTTTTAAATTCTTACTAATCATAACTCCCAGATCCCTTTCGCAATCCGACTTCGCAATCACAACACCATCTAGCTCGTATCTTGTAACTATCATCATTACCTAACCTCAGAACTTTACATTTATCAGCATTAAACTGCATCTGCCAATCCTTTGACCATTTCAAAACCCTATCTAGATCAACTTGAAGTGATAGTGAGTCCTCCTCCGAATTAATTTCCCTACCGATTTTCGTATCATCGGCAAATTTGCAAATGTTGCTACTCAAACCTGAATCTAAATCATTTATATATATTATAAACAACAGAGGTCCCAGGACAGAGCCTTGAGGCACTCCACTTACAACATTTTCCCACTCTGACTTGATTCCATTTATTTATTTACAAAGGACCCCTCTGGAAGCCAGCAGCCACAATCTTCATCAGAAAAAGGAGAAGCTAGCCACAACCAAACAACAACCAGGACCAAGGAGCAAAAAGCCACCAGAAACAATCCCAGACCAAACGGGCTGCCATAAAACAAAGGAGAGAAAAGGAACCTAGCCAAAGACCAGGCAGGCACAAAGCAAGAGCAGGATGGAGGTGAAACTGCTCAAGAAGCATGCAAAGCAGGGCCAAGTAATCTGCAACCACGAACGCTAGCCATAGAGGCTGCGCTAACACTGCAGAGGCGACAGCACTTGGCCAAAAATATCGAGCAAGAAACAGCCAGAAATTAAAAAGGGCAAAACAACTGGCAGAAACTCAATAACAACGACGAAGTGAAAGAAACGGCAAAAAGACTGCCAAGAGTCCATGCTGTTGCCAGAAGAACCAAGGGTGGGACACCTATATCAAGCCACTTGGGGTGTGGCCACCCCAAAAAAGGTGGCCACAAGCATTTTCATCCCACACGCATCAACACACCAGATGCGAAGAACGTAACAGAAGGCCAAACCAGCAAGGAACTCCACTCGCCTAAACTTTCCGACAAAGGTGGAGCTTCGGAAAAATGCCTGGGTTTGGACCCGAAACCAAGAAAGGCCGGCAACCATGTAGCCAGAAGAGCCACTCTCCCTTGTAAGATTCTAAGACATGCCAGAACCAGGAACAACAGTTGGACAGGGAAAAAGAGTTAGTGGTACCTCCACCTCGACCAGTCCTGCCAAAAAAAGCCCTGATTGCGAGAGCCACGCAGACTGAGCATGATGCCATATTGAGACCAAACCGACCCGAAGATGTCCACATCCGGGCACCCGTATGTCCAGCAAAGCTGAAGGAAGTGGCAATGACAGTACACTCCGTGGAACAGGGAAATGAAGCAAGATAGTGTCAACCAGGATGCTGAACAAGTTCCGAACGTGAGCAGCATGGAGAGCCAAACTCTGAGAACTCAGCAGAAGAGCTAACTGAAGCGACCAGCTCCAAAGAGGCATGGAACGAAGAGACCCCCCACCACCAGTTGAGACAATAAATTACAAGAGAACAGTCCAAATGGAGCCAGATCACCAAGCCCCAAGAAATCCAAACCCTCTGCAGCGCCTGTCACACTGCTGCAAACTCCCGCACCATGCTGAGAGCTGGACAAAGGGATGCCACCAATGACCTTGGCCGGACTGGTGAGCACTGGGCACAAAGCCCCAACCTACTGCCAAGCAGTCTTTAAAAACATCGAGAAATGGAGGAAAGCGCCATGACACTGAACTCAAAAAGACCCGAAGAGGAAGCCGGTGACACAGCACCTGGCAATGGGACACCAGGGGCCAGAACCAGCATGCGAGTGTGGCAAAAGTGGCTGCTCCAAAAATACCAGAACAGCCTCCAGAACCAAACCCTGCCCAACGGATAAACCAGGAAGGCAAAGCTTATACTCCGCAAAAAGAGTTGCTTGAGCTACCACCAAGTCACCAGGGTCCTTCTTAACCCTTAAACTGCGCAACACATCATACAATGTGTTGAGTAACTTGCTATAAATTGCACATCACGTCATATGATGTATTGGAGTACTATGCAAGATTTAAACAGCCCGCGGATTCACGGGGTTCACCTCACCTTCATCAGGGCTCTTGTAAACAGACGCCATTTAAAAAAAATCATGGGCCAAATTCCCGGGTGTGAGGGCTTCAGTATTGAGTGAGCCACCAAGCCTGATGCACACAGCATGAGCTCACAGCACTGCTGTTCAGCTTGTGACCACAGCATCACCTAAAAATGCCATAATATATATGTTCATGCTATTATTTAGCGATGATATTACAGAAGAGGGGGCTGAGTAATGTCTGAAGACAGTTTGTTATTCTTTTGATAGCAGATTTTTGCTGGGTGATGATGGGCTTGAGGTAATTTCCAGTGGTTGAACCCCATGCACAGATACCATAAGAAAGATAGGGATAGATTGGCGCATAGTATAATGAGAGAAGAGTTTTGAATATAATATCTGATTTTAGAAAGTATACCGACCATTTCTGAGACTTATATTGGTAATGTGTTGTATGTGGGTGCTGAAGTTGAGTCTCATGTCTATGTATTGCCCAAGGAACTTTCTATCCTTTTTATTGCTGATGTTAACATTGTCTATCTGAAGCTGAATTTCATTTGACGATTTGCTTCTAAATACGTAATGTGTAGTAGGTCTTTTCTATGTTTAGTGAGAGTTTCTTGGTTGCCATCCATAAGTGAATTTTTTTTAATTCATTATTTACAACATTAATGTGTGCGGGTTGGGGTTAGAGTAGACGAGGGTAGTATCATCAGCAAACAATATAGGTTTAAGCAAGTTAAGAGACATTAGGCAGATCATTGATGTACATAAAAAACAGGAGGGGTCCTAGGATGCTGCCCTGTGGCACTCCTACGGTTAGTGGTAGAGTGGGAGAGGTTATATCATTGATGGCTACATATTGGTGTCCGTCACTAAGATAGGATCGGATATAGTTCTGGGCAAGGCCTCATATTCCATAATGGTGGAGTTTAAGAGGTAGTTATGGTTAACAGTATCAAAAGCCTTTCTCAGGTCAATGAAGAGTCCAGTTGGAAACTCATTTTTGTCAAGGGCTGAGAAAGAGTAAGTCAAGCACACTAACAACTGCATCATTGGTACTCTTTTGCGAGCGGAAGCCAAACTGACAGGGACTTAGTAAATTAAATTTTACGAGATAGGAGTAGAGATGTTTGTAAATAATGTTTTCAAATATTGTTGCTAATATAGGTAGATTTGATATAGGTCTGTAATTGTTTATGTCTGCCGGATTGCCTCCTTTAGGAGAGCGTAGCTCTAATCCTGTAGCTACACTTAGGTAGTTACACATACAAGGGGAAGGGAATTATTAGGGAAGAGCCAAGCCACTACGAGTATATAGCTCTACTCTACAGGTCTACCAGAACACTTCCGTCACTCTCGGTAGTCTCCCAGCGTATTACTCTGACCTTACCTTTAATAGGCTCGTCATCGCCCTTTTCATCGTTCGTTTTGCGCATATCTGACCCCAGGTGATCAGGCATGGTGATGCTGGTGATGGAGAACCAAGTGTGGAGCAGGTGTGGAGCAAGTTGTGTAGGGAGTAAAGCAGTTGCTGCAGGTGTGGTGACTGATGATGACTGGTCGAGGCAGCCCCGCCGCCGCCGCCGCCCTCGTACACTTCCCTCATACTCTTGTACATCCCAATACAACTCACCCACACCTCACATCATTTACCGGAATTTACCTGAGGGTCACCAATACTGGTGGGCTCGATGAAAACAGGAAGCCTGCGGTTTGTCAACGGTCCCCCCAATTTGCCTGATTATGTTTCCAGTTGGCAACATTAATGTACCAGTATACATTAATGTATAAACCCAATGTACCTTCTTGTATATAAATAAATAAATAAATAAATAAATAAATAAATAAATAAATAAATAAATAAATAAATAAATAAATAAATATCAATAAATTAAGAAAACATGGAGCACAATTTCCCACATATTGGGATCAAAGAAGATTTTAAATAACAAACCAATACTCCTGTCCAATAACGATGGTCAGCTTACAACCTCTAATACTGCTATTGAGTTCAATAGGTTCTTCTTTTCCATTGGTCATCCCTTGCAAATGATATTCCATCTTTCAGTACTGATGATCAGGACTATCTTACAGGTAACTATCCACAGTTTCTGTACCTAACGCCTGCAAATTCCACTGGTGTTAGTGAGGTAATCCTTTCTCTTAAAACCAAGTCTAGTGCCCTTGAGGCGATACCAACTTTAATTTACAAAAAAAACTCCAGATCTTTAGCTCCTTCTATTGCATTGCTCTTCAACAAGTCACTTGAACGCCAAACCTTTCCAGATATTCTAAAAAAAAAAAGTGAGAGTAACCCCTGTCCACAATTGTGGTGATCTCACTGATATTAACAACTTCAGACCTATATCAATCCTGCCAAACTTGTCAAGAAATATTTGAAAAACTAATCTACAAGCAGCTTTACTCTTATCTAGCCAATCACAATATACTTAGCTCTTGTCAATATGGCTTCAGACCCAAAAAAAGCACTAACGATGCACTTATTAGTATGATTAACTTGATACATGCAGCTCTTGATAAAAATGAGTTCCCTGTTGGGTTATTTGTGGACCTGCGTAAGGCTTTTGACACTGTCAACCACCAAAACCTTCTTCTTAAATTACATTATGGAGTCAGAGGACACTCCCTGCAATACCTTAAGTCTTACCTTACTGACAGGCTGCAGTATGTTTATGTGAATAATTCCATTTCTCCCACCCTACCCATCAACATTGGTGTTCCACAGGGCAGCATACTTGGCCCTCTCCTCTTTCTCATCTACATTAATGACCTTCCAAATGCCTCCCAACACCTCAAAGCAATTCTATTTGCTGACGACACGACCTTCATTTACTCAAGTCCTGACCACCTTGCTCTAAATGTCACAGTGAGTACTGAGCTAAATAAAGTCCATCTTTGGCTAGCTGCCAACAAACTCACCCTTAACATTGACAAAACTTTCTATATTTTGTTTGGAAATAAATCCTTAAATCAAATAAATCTCAGGATAAACGATACCCAAATTTGTAACAAAGTAGATGGCAAATTCCTTGGCGTTCTCATTGACCCCAAGCTGAATTTCCAGGGACACATTCTAAATATATCAAAATATATTGATATATCAAATATATATTAATATTATATTGATATATTAATATATCAAAAAAAGTTAAAACAAAAACTGTTGGCATTCTTTCTAAGATCAGATATTATGCACCTCGCCCTGCCCTGGTGACGCTCTATTACTCCCTCATCTATCCTTATCTCAACTATGGTATTTGTGCTTGGGGTTCTACTACCCAAAATCATTTACGTCCTCTAATTACTCAACACAAAGCTGCTATTAGGACAATATCCAACTTTGGCCCCAGACATCACTCGGTACCCCTACTCAAATCTCTGAATATGTTAGATATTAAGTCCCTGCACATCCTCTCGTGTGTATTTTATATATATAAAACGCTGAACTGTAATGTCAATCCTGACCTTAAAAGCTTCCTAGAAGGTTGTAACAGATCCCATGAGCACCACACCAGAAACAAATACCTATTTGATATTCCAAGAGTACGACTTAATCAAACTAGAAATGCACTACAAATCAAGGGACCCAGAATGTGGAATGACCTTCCCAATCATGTTAAAGACTGTACCTCTCTCAACCAGTTTAAGATAAAAACTAAGTACTACCTAATTAACTCCCTGTAACCTACCTTAACCCTCATTGTCAACCCATGTTTGCTATTTTAAACAATGCTGTTTGTCGACCAAATCATATATTTGCTATTTTTCTGCCATGTTCCCCCTTTTTCTATTTTTATATTTTCTCAACACATTTTATACTTTAATCTCAATTAGTATTAAATTTTAGTCTTAGTGTTTTTCCGGCCCGAAACGCTTTGTGTAATAGTGGCTTTAGGCATTGTATGTACTAGCTCTACCTATAAATCTATCAATTTTTGTAAAACCTCTTGTATGTATGTACCTTACTTGAATAAACATTTATTTATTTATTTATTTATTTATTTATTTATTTATTTATTTATTTATTTATTTATTTATTTATTTATTTATTTATTTATAAATTTATAACTCTATCAATGTTTGTACTCACCTAGTTGTGCTTGCGGGGGTTGAGCTCTGGCTCTTTGGTCCCGCCTCTCAACTGTCAATCAACAGGTGTACAGGTTCCTGAGCTCTATCATATCTACACTTGAAACTGTGTATGGAGTCAGCCTCCACCACATCATTTCCTAATGCATTCCATTTGTCAACCACTCTGATACTAAAAAAGTTCTTTCTAATATCTTTGTGGCTCATTTGGGCACTCAGTTTCCACCTGTGTCCCCTAGTGCGTGTGCCCCTAGTGTTAAATAGCCTGTCTCTATCTACCCTGTCGATTCCCTTGAGAATCTTGAATGTAGTGATCATGTCCCCCCTAACTCTTCTGCCTTCCAACGAAGTGAGATTTAATTCCCGTAGTCTCTCCTCGTAGCTCATACCTCTCAGCTCGGGTACTAGTCTGGTGGCAAACCTTTGAACCTTTTCCAGTTAAGTCTTATGCTTGACTAGATATGGACTCCATGCTGGAGCCGCATACTCCAGGATTGGTCTGACATATGTGGTATATAATGTTCTGAAAGATTCCTTACACAAGTTTCTCAAATCTCTAGTTTCAAATCTCTGAATATGTTAGACATTAAGTCACTGCACATTCTCTCATGTGTATTATACATATATAAAACGCTAAACTGTAATGCCAATCCTGACCTCAAAAGCTTCATAGAAGGTTGTAACAGAACCCATGAGCATCACACCAGAAATAAATAGTTTTGATATTCCAAGAGTACGACTTAATCAAACTAGAAATGCTCTACAAATCAAGGGACCCAGATTGTGGAATGACCTTCCCAACCATGTTAAAGACTGTACCTCTCTCAACCAGTTTAAGATAAAAACGAAGCTATACCTAATAAATTCCCTGTAACCTACCTTACCCCTCTATTGTTAACCAATGTCTGTTTTTTTAAAGAGCGCTGTTTGTCGACAGAATTGTATTTATGCTGCTTTTTCAGCTATGTTTTCATTCCATGTTTTCATTTTATTCTTTATGCTCAATTAGTATTAAGCTTTAGTCATTTAAGTTTTTCATGCCCGAAACGCTTTGCGTAATAGTGGCTTTAGGCATTGTATGTACTAGCCCTATCTATAAATCCATCACTCTTTGTAAAATCTCTTGTATGTATGTACCTTACCTAAATAAACATTTGATTTGATTTGATTTGATTTGTTTCTAAAGGCCGTTCTTATGTTAGCCAACCTGGCATATATGCTGCTGATGTTATCCTCTTGATATGAGCTTCAGGGGACAGGTCTGGCGTGATATCAACCCCCAGGTCTTTCTCTCTCTCTGACTCTTGAAGTATTTCATCTCCCAAATGATACCTTGTATCTGGTCTCCTGCTTCCTACCCCTATCTTCATTACATTACATTTGCTTGGGTTAAACTCTAACAACCATTTGTTCGACCATTCCTGCAGCTTGTCCAGGTCTTCTTGAAGCCTCAAGCTGTCCTCCTCTGTCTTAATCCGTCTCATAATTTTGGCGTCGTCAGCAAACATTGAGAGGAATGAGTCTATACCCTCTGGGAGATCATTTACGTATATCAGAAACAGGATAGGTCCGAGTACAGAGCCCTGTGGGACTCCACTGGTGACTTCTCGTCAATCTGAGGTCTCACCCCTGACTGTAACTCTCTGCTTCCTATTACTTAGGTACTCCCTTATCCACTGGAGCGCCCTACCAGTTACTCCTGCCTGTTTCTCCAGCTTATGCATCAAACTATTATGGGGTACTGTGTCATAGGCTTTCCGACAGTCCAAAAAATGCAGTCCGCCCATCCTTCTCTTTCTTGCTTAATCTTTGTCACCTAATCATAGAATTCTATTAAGCCTGTAAGGCAAGATTTACCCTCTCTGAACCCATGTTGATGGGTTGTCACGAAGTCTCTTCTCTCCAGATGTGTTACTAGGTTTTTTCTCACAATCTTCTCCATCACCTTGCATGGTATACAAGTTAAGGACACTGGCCTGTAGGTCAGTGCCTCTTGTCTGTCACCCTTTTTGTATATTGGGACTAGTCATTAGCAGTCTTCCATATTTCTGGTAGGTCTCCCGTTTCCACGTGTTGTCTGAAAGCAGAGTTTGTTTTTATTCTGATAGCAGATTTTTGCTGGGTGATGATGGGCTTAAGATGGTTTGCAGTGGTAGACCCCCATGCACAGATACCATAATTAAGATATGGGTAGATTAGTGCATAATAGAAGTATAGAAACAGTATAGTATAGTATAGAAGTATAGGAACTATACAGTAGGCAGGCAGTATAGAAATACAGTAGATAGTATATAGTATAGTATAGTACAGTATATAGTATATATAGTATATAGTATAATAGTATATACAGTAGGTGGGCAGTATAGAAACTTGTTTGGTTCTATACGATTCGACCTGATGAATCATTCCTCATGAATCCTAACCTAGAATTATAGGATGGCCTATTGTTTATTTTTACAGGATTCATATAATATATAATGAATATATTCTAAGTACTGTATAAATGCATGTTCATAATTTTAACCCAACAGTAAAATGGGTGGTTGTAAACGATTTGGCGAGGTCGTATTCCGGGGAAAATAGGATTAAGGACTTGCCCGAAACGCTGTGTATAACATGCATGTATACAGTAAATAAAAATAATTATTTAAGGTTAGAGACAGATGTCTTTACAGAAGAGCAGTCATTGACACACAAAGGCCAGAAAGCACGAGTATAAAGAGGTATGTTTAGAACCGATAATTATATGTACAATTATCTTCAATAATAATACAAGATATATGTATTATATGTACGGACGAATAATTATATGTACGGGCAGCATAAAACATTCACTAGACAGTGTGACATTGTAATTTGGCTGGGATATCGATATCTATGGCAGGTGGCTGCAGGTAATTAAGCCCCCAGTGATGAACATTACAATTGTAAACTATGTGAACAAGAGCTGGGACATACTCTCCTACACTATATCTGTGATTGCCTTGTTATAAGTGACTTCAGACCAAATGGTGTGAGGTACTTTGAGCTCTGTAATTACTTCATACACTCAGGAGTTGGTTGGTTTTTGTATTGAGGAAGGTATTTTCTCCCCTGATTCCATGTATGACTAACCATCCTGTGAGATGGGAGTATTAGATGAACTTATAGCTAGTTTTTGATCTACATTGTGTAATCTTTCATATAGAATAGGGTAGCAGCACATTGCTGTGTATTGTTAATAAAAAAAAAAAAGTTCTTTGGTTGGTGTGAATTTATTACAAAACATTCCTTCAAGATTAAGATTTTCTGTCAAGGATCGACGAGGAATTAGTCATATTTTTGTAAAGGTTATATTTATTATGTGTAGATGATATTGTATGTCATATAATGATTTTGGTGGGTGTGAGTTGATATAAGAGAAATTACTTGTGGCACCTTGAGCAAGCAGGCGCTCCTCATTAAACACTGACCCTGGTAGCTTTATATGAGGTGTTGAACAGTACATGATAATGGTTAGACGTGACACGCGAGGATGATGGACATAGATGATGTTAAGTTATGTAGTAATGTTTGAGAGGAGCGGTGGATGATGTCACGATCAACATTCACCCGTGTGGCCGCCCACTCACCCTCGCACACCAAAGTCTCTACAACATCTTCATCAACCCGCACTTAACAATATTGCTTAATGTTGTAATACGAAAATAAGTTACAGCTCATTAATTTTTGTATATAGTTTAGTTGTGGTTGTAAAGTATGCACAGTTGGAGTGGAAGAAGCAGAGTACTGGAACGCGCCGTCCTGAGCAGGAGGTCGAAGGAACTCGTCTGCGATCCAAACATTACACCCGAGTGTCGAGATAATGGCGGGTCTTAACTGTGACGGTACCCGGGTGGCGCGGGCGCTCTCTAAACGTCTCTGATGTGCCGTGGAAGCGGAGAGTACCATGAGTGAGACCCAGCTAAGGCGGGTACTGGTGGAAGACATTCCCTCGCTCGTGGCTTGCCACACCGTAGTACCAACCCAGTCAGCTGATTTGGCCCCCGTGCACAGTGCCAGGGTCAGGAGTGCCCACGCCCACGCCATGGAGAAGCGGGCGGGGGCGGAGGGGGCCGCCCGAGGTGACAAGAGGGCGGGGGCAGATGGGGCCACCCATACCCCAGGGCTGGCCACAGAGCTCAGGGACAAACTCACTTTCAAAATTGGTGTCATGAATGGCATGAAGATTGGCACCACAGATGCCGAAGTCCATGTGCCAGCAGTCAAGTCCACGAAGTCTCTCGTCCTTGAGGAGCAGTGTTCAGAGTCTAGTCATGATTCCGCGTCCAAGTCGGACTTAAATGGGACTGTGTGTAATGGCCACTCCGTGTCCGAGGCGACAAGTAGTAATAGTATCGCAATTTCAGACACGTTTTCCATAAATTCAGAAAAGTCATCGGACTCGTCCCATTCATTCTCTGGTGCTCGTCCAAGGACAAGAAACACGTCGAACAGTTCACAAAGCACGCAACCTAAAAGTGAAAATGATCTTAGCTCAACCAGTGAAAGTTTAATAACTCCGGAAATTTGCATAAGTCCTGTTACGTCGACTGTAGACAACGATCTGAAAGTAGACTACGTAAATTATGAAAATGAATTACAAATGTCAGCCATAATGAGGCTAATCCAGAAGGATTTATCAGAACCATATTCAATATATACATATAGGTATTTTATACATAACTGGCCCAAATTGTGCTTCCTGGTATGTAAATTTAGTTTGTTGAGAGAGTGGTGTGACAAGTGCGAAGATGTTGCGTCAGTCCGTGGTGAAGCTCGCGCTCATCATAAGTTAGGTGCAGCTCGTCTATTTTATATATATACAGTAAATTTGGTTCGAATTGTGTAATCATATTTTACACTAAACAGTAATTGTCAATTTTTTAATGTATATGTCTGTTATTCTTACTCCTTTGCAATATATTTTTATTTGCCTATGATGTAATACCTAAGGTGACGTCTTCGCATGTGTTCACTTCTCCATGTGGTTGTGCCTCAGGCTGTTTGTGCATGAAGTTGATCTCTTAGCTACACTTTTGGACAATTACAAAATTGATCCAGTAATTTTGTATATATCTTGAGTGCATAAATGTTTGGAGTACTATATTCATTAGTGTAGTACATGGATAGAGGATATTAAAATAATTTGCCCTGATCTAACGACAGTGCTGTAGCTTAATTTTTAATACTAATCTTTCTTTGGTTTTAATTTTTGATCTCTGAAGTTTGTATCTCTAGGCCTAGCCTAGATGCAGACGGATACCACCATTCATAGGCCTCTTGTCAGACTACTGCTATGATACCTTACATATGGGATTTATAATTTGTATTGGTGGTTGTAAATGTGACTTGAAATTTATTAATAGTAATTGTATTTAGATACGTACATCAAGTCCAAACTTCATTGTAGGTGGATACAAGTAGCATCATGTCTAGATAATTTGCCAACAGATTTTAAAACCTACCTAACTGTACCCATCCTAACCAGATCTAACCCAAACCAACCTAACCTTACCCAGCAGAGCCTGATACAGACTTGCCTAAACTAATACAACGTAACCTAACTATATTTTGACAATCGGAAACTGAGCATTGTCAAACTTTTTGTATACGGTTTAACACTATCCCATGGTAGGCGGAGTGTTCAGCTTAACGTTTTGTAATTTGAGGATGAAAATAGGTTATAATTTTGACTGACTTTCGGATTGATTTTAGGATTAATGATTACTGATGTAGGATAACTTAGTTTGTTAGTTGTATAGGCTATCATTGTTCCTACTTCATATAATGTAATCTGCTCAGAAAATTAATGGTGTCCTTTAAGAACACTGGCCTTATTCAAGTTGCAGTTAGTGTACACAAAATAGTATGCACTAAAAGTCTGCATTTATATCTAGCCAAATTATTACTGTATAATCTAGCTAAAGCTAAAAAATATATAAATCTCCAAATTTGTAAAAAAGTCAAACTTAGTTGGCTTAAGAGCTTAGAAGAGTAGTAAAGGTATTTAACTTGAAATTTGTGTGATTATAGCTCCTTTGGTAGGTAGGATAAAGGGACGTTAGTATGACAGTTTCTTGACGTTGGGAAACTTGAGGAGGACAGGCTGAGTTATGAACATTTTGATTAAGCTTATGTGGTCATAAAAAATACACATATTAAAACTTTTGTGGTCATAAAAGTTTTACCTGAAACTTGTTTGATCATAAAAGTGAGCATCTTGTTGAAGTTAGGCATTGTAGCTCCTTGGCTGATGTTTTTTATACATAATTCTTTTTTATTGCATTTCCATTCTATTTTTGAAGAATGTATCTACTGTATATTACTTTGGAACTTAAATCCTCGGGTATGTTCATAAAACTAAACTTCCTTTTTAAACTGAGCAGTGTTGTTGCTGGTATGGTGCGGTCTTTGGTCAAAATTCTATTAGTTTTACTCAGTAATTTATGTTCTTAATATAATAATATTGTTAACATTGAATCAATTCGGAAAGAAATTCTGTACAGTACAATATTTGAAAATAATTTCTTTTTATCTAAATGTTAAGCAAATTGGGTCTTACATACTGTGCCAAGTAGTGCATTCTGCCTATTAGGTACAGTAGTCTATATGTGTGTGTGTGTGTGTAATTACCTAAGTGTAGTTACAGGATGAGAGCTATGCTTGTGTTGTCCCGTCTTCCCAGCACTTTGTCATATATAACGCTTTTAAGCTACAGATGGTTTTGACCTCGACCACCTCACTTAGATTATTTCAACCGTCTACCACTCTGTTTGCATAAGAGAATTTTCTAATGTTTTTGTGGCACCTTTGTTTCTTTAGCTTGAGTCTGTGTCCTCTTGTTCTTGAAGTTCCAGGTCTCAGGAATTCTTCCTTATCAATTTTATCGAGTCCTGTTACTATTTTGTACGTAGTGATCATATCGCCTCTTTTTCTTCTATCTTGTAGTTTTGGCATTAACTCCTCTATCCTCTCCTCATAGCTCTTGTCCTTCAGTTTTGGGAGCCACTTAGTGGCATGTCTTTGCACCTTTTCCAGTTTGTTGATGTGCTTCTTAAGATATTAGCACAATACAACCGCTGCATATTCCAGCTTTGGCCTAGTAAAAGTCGTGAACAATTTCTTTAGTATTTTGCCATCCATATACAGTATATAAAAGCAATTCTGAAGTTAGAAAGTGCAGTATAGGCTCCTCGCACAACGTTCTTTATGTGGGCCTCGGGTGATAGTTTTCAATCTAGACCCACCCCTAAATCTCTTTCTTTATCAGAAGTCTTTAAAGATTTTCCACATAATTTATAGGTTGTGTGGGGTCTCTGTTCACCTGTTTCACATTCCATAACATGACATTTATGTACATTAAATTCCATTTGCCAAGTGATGCTCCATATACTTATTTTGTCCAGGTCTTCTTGAAGGGCATTACAATCATCTAAGTTTCTTATCATTCCTATTATCTTAGCATCATCAGCAAACATGTTCATATTACTATCGCGCGCCGCCAACTTAAAGGTCACGCCCGCGGCGTGCGGGTGGGCATGCGGGCAAGCGCGTGGCGACACTGAAATGTGTATCCTCGTTTCAGTTTTCTCACCTTAATTCTCATGCTACGTCATTCGTTTTGGTATCATTGTGTTCGCAATAGAATTCCCTACAGGTGTATATACATATAATGTCCAAAAGCCTGGTGTGACTGAACAGCAAAGCCTAAATTTGGCAAAAGTTACCCGTGAGCACACAAAATCAGTAAAATGTGTTTACTCGTTTCAGTTTTCTCACCTTAATTCTCGTGCTATGTCGCTTGTTTCGGTATCATTGTGTTTGCAATTAAATTGCAATTAATTTGTATTTACATATACACCCTGCAGGTGTATATGCATATAATGTACAAAAGCCTGGCGTGATTCCCCGCAGGAAAGACTAAAGTTACCCGTAAATGAGCACTAATTGGCACACCGCAACCTAATGTGTATACTCGTTCAGTTTGATAACATCAATTTTTGTGTTACATCTTTCATTTTGGTATCAAATTGTTTGCAATGTAAAGGTGCACATTTTAAAACTAGTCCCAAAATAATAGCATAATAAATAGAATTTTAACAAATATTTTAAAATTTTGACCAAAAACGTATTTATAATCTTTCAAATGTTCTGACATCAGGTTTCGTGTTACACCTTACATTTTGGTATCAAATTGTGCGCACTCTAAGGGCGCTTATTTTGAAACTATTCCGAAGTTGATCGAATAAAAAATGAATTTTATACAAATATTTTTGTATTGGACGCGAATGCTGTCCACGGCTAGGACTCTAGAGAAAAAAAGTGGACGTGAGTGTTGTCCACGGCCGTCGATACTGATATAATTCTGTATTCCATCTGGCAGATTATTTATGTAAACAATGAACATCACCGGTGCAAGAACTGAACCCTGTGGTACTCCACTTGTGACATTTCTCCAGTCCGATACATTGCCCTCATTTTTCTATCGGTTAGAAAATTTTTCATCCATGTTAGAAGCTTACCTGTTACCCCTCCATTATGTTCCAGTTTCCAGAACAACCTCTTATGTGGAACTCTGTCGAAAGCCTTTTTTAGGTCCAGATAGATGCAGTCAACCCAACCACCTCTTTCCTGTAAAATCTCTGTGGCTCGATCATAGAAACTGAGTAAATTTGATACACAGGATCTTCCAGATTGAAAACATACTGTTTGTGTGATATTATATCGTTTCTCTCTAGGTGTTCCACCCATTTAGTTTTAATTATTTTTCTAATATTTTGACTATTACACTTGTCAATGATACAAGTGTGCTCAATGATACAGCATCAGTTTTGATAGATTCTCTGGATAGGCGATCGACTAAATTGATTGAAAGGTTGATAGGCTCAATGCTCGATCCTGCAGGCACAAATAAGTGAGTACAAATAGGTGAGCACACACACATTCAAACTGAAGGAATGATCAAACAAATGGTTGTTAGAGTTTATCCCATTTAAACTCAATTAAACTTAAACCCATTAAAATTTAAAAACACACACAGTGCGTGTATAATTTTTATCTAACTACTGTACCTGCATGGCGCACATTTAATATATACTTTTTAAAGTAACCAATGTTGTAACCCTTTTTGTGTAATGACATTTTCAAATAAAGTTAGATATATATATACATATATATATATATATACACACACCAAAAGTATAGGGGTGGTAGGAGAAGAAAATATCAAAATGTTCAGTGAGGATCCACAAGGTCTTCTCTGAATACTCTTTTTCTTCTCCGAGGCTATGGGTCCCTACTCTTGTACCAGAGGTGGTACCCCTTCTAGGTATAATAAAAAAAAATTATTTTTAAAGTATGTACTGGGTAAGATTTAAAAATCCAGCAGTACTGGGTTCACATCAGCTTCCTGAGGGCTCCAGTAAACAGATGCCATTTAATAAAAAGAATCATTGGTACCATTCCCAAGTGTGAGAGCCTCAATACTGAATGAGCAACCAAGGCTGGCACATGCAGCATGAGCTAACAGCACTGCTGTTCAGCTTGTGTCCACAGCATCGCTTAAAAATTTCAAAATATATATGTAACTGCTATTATTTAGCGATGATAGTATTACAGAAGAACCTGACTGATAAAAACTGTGTATAGTGTTCAGATATCAGTGAATACAATGCTGTTCAAGATGTTCAGTGTTAGGCAGGTAGC